GCAGGAACCGGCAGCCCGTGTTTACCCTGACAGGTAGGGTCGAAGCAGCCCGCCTCCTAGATTATTTAGATAAGCTCGATGGGTGCTTAAAACTTGCATATTACATCATAAACATTTTGTAGACTATTGATGCATTGCGTTTAGGTTAACGTATGAGGTGGCCTACTTCGACCCCGTCTGTCAAGGCCAACCCAAGCCGTTCTGAATGCTTCTTCCGTTCAGAAAGACGGACATTTTCACACTAAAAAGAAACAACCCACAACAGAAAAACAAAAAACGTTCCTACGAAGGAACGTGAACTCTGGTCTCCTGTTTGCAAGGCCAACAGCACAAACAGTCACTTCTTCCATAATAGGATAAGCAATACGGCTGACAGATCAGTTCAATAATGAAGTGATACCCTGCTGCGAAAATTGACAACCAAATATAACCGCCAGACGCTGACACGAAACGCCATAATCACCCCTTTTCAATAGCAAACGCCACATTTTAGATTTCCAAATTTAGAAACCAATCATTGCGGTTCCAAACGCTGCAGCCACAGACAATATCGACGCCGAACATCCCTGTGTACTATTATTTCCACTATACGTATTGAACGTATACAAAGGAGTCCGCTTAAACTGATCACGATTAATCCGAAAATATCAGTAAACCGATAAAATGTTATTATAATAGACTCGCTGATTTTTTTTCTTCGTTATTTGAGTAAGCTCTCTAAACCAAAAACACGGCTAAACCGAAGAGAATCCAGCTGTCCCACAGATTGCTGTTTATGTGAATTCCACCGAACGTTACTTTGACGCCTATGTGTATACCTAAAACTTCTGTTTACTCTACCAATAACACGCGTTTGGATAATAATAATAATAGTAATAATAATAATAATGATAATAATAATAATAATAATAATATTAATAATAATAATAATAACAAGTAGCATTTGTATAGCGTATACCGCTGCTCAACAGCAAGCTCTATGCGTTTTACAATATTATTATTACCCCAACAGATCTGAGAAAACTTAGAAATATTCTCAGCTTCCCGGAAAGCATACAGTGCAAGCAGCAGATTAAACGCTCAACAAAAGACATCACACTCACAAAACCTTTCACCATCTACAGCCCACGATTAGAGGTGTTACAAAGGAGTAACAAGCACTCAAAAAAAAAAATAGAGAGAGGTAAGGACGATAGATGTTTGATAGGGAAAAAGGAGCAAACCACACCAGAGCACCCGCCAACCACCCACAGCAGACAACTTGAAACCATGACGAAGCGAAAGGGTCGGTGTTGCAAAAGTGCAAAAGTATCGATACAATGTGGGACCAACGCCTTTTGGCGCTCCCTTAGCTCAGTACGTAAAACATGGAGGACTAGGGAGCGAATGGTCCTGGTTCGGATCTCCATCGGGGACTTTTTGAGGCCCTCCACCCTGTGCTCTTTCTATCTTCAATCTTTCTTATTCTTTAACTAAATAGTCTTTGCGCATGGTTAGAGGGCGCCAAAGATTGATCCTACTCCTTTTTTCCGTTTTCCTTTGTTTTTTCTGTCAGTCAGTAGTTCTTATTTAACTAAATGTTGTGCTACCCTTTACTAACAAAAATCCACCAAAAAGTACTTCTCCCTACATTCTCAACAAACCCCAAAACACGGCAACTCCCTACACTTTTTCCCGCTCCATAATTAATCACCCCCTTCTCCACCCCTACCCCCACCCAATCCCCTCCTCATTCACCCTCTCCGAATATAATAATATTGATCTGTTTTGTCGGCATATGAAATACGATTCGCGGTGAAAACAAACAGACTAAAAGGTCACAGCGTACTGTATATCTGGCGGAATTGACTAGAGTTGACTTGGCAGTACAAACGTGAGTAATGAACACATGACACTTCCTCCCCGTGGCAGATACTACAAAATGTCAAACGTTTTTTGTTATCGACAGCGGTGTGTCATCGTCTTCTCTGGGTTTTAAAACAGAATCGTAGAGCGGGAAATTTCGACAAAATGAGAACGAAATCGTGGGAATTTTCGACAAAATTATACGAAATCGTGGGAAAATTTTGACAAGTCATAATAAACAGTTTCAGTTTCCAAGCTGTACACGGAATAATATCTGTAAATAGCACTTGAGCCGCAAAAGACGACAGAGCTGATCTTTTTATCGCCTGACAGCTCACTTGATCAAATCGGCCCCCTAGAATTACAAAGTTTTACATGCATGGTATCTAGTTTTGGGGAATTTGACGTGAAAAATATTGAGTTTCACAACATGGTTATAAGCTTTTTTAGTGAAATTCTTTAAATATCCTGATAACGTCTCCGAATAATCATATGGTTTTTACTGCGCTCGCAACTGCATAACGTCATGTGAGCGCGCGGGACACATTAAACATTTCCAGTAGGTAAAGCATTTTGAATTTTTCACGGGTGGCGGCTGAAGCCTAGTCTTATCGATTTTGGACCACTAAGGGATCTTTAACGAGCACAAATTGCACTCCGGACGTCCGAGATTTTTCGCCCTTGTCCGAGGAGGTGGGTGTTGATCTTTCCAACCAGAAGATTAGGGGTGTGGCTGAAAGACAGCAGTAAGAAGGAGCTAAGGTTAAGCAGTAGAAAGGCTGCAGAAAGAGTCAGGAGCCCAGAGGAGGGGTCACAGGAGGTGAGGAGGAGGGGGCAGAAAGTGGAGACGAAAGCAGACGACAGAAGATTGCTAGAGAGCATGAAAGGAGACAATTTTAGAGAAGAAAATTTTTTCCGTCGCTACCCGGATTCGAACCCGGGACCTTCGAATGAGAGGCGAACACCTTAACCTCTACGCCACGAGAGCCCCCTTCTTCTTCTTCTTCTACTTCTTCTTCTTCTTCTTCTTCTTCTTCTTCTTCTTCTTCTTCTTCTTCTTCTTGTCGCGGACAAATATGTCAAGAGAATATTATCATAAGAAAAAGGTTAGTCCCAATGACGAGACATAATCCCTGATGAATAGAATTAGACTCATCTCATACACAATTATATTTGCTGGTCGTTATCTGGAAAGCGGCATAGTTCGCCTTTTTCAACTGTACCATGGGTAGTGACTCGTCCAAACGCACAATTTTAAATCGACAACAAGACTGAAAAACCCTGCGACAACGCAATTTTCTTAGCTGTAATTATTGATTTTAACAGCATTTCTCGACCCAAGTTAGTTTTCTGCCGACGTTTCTGTGATTTAAGCCAGGTGATTTCCGTCTTCTGCGGCAGAAATCCGTTAGCAAAGAAAACACGCAAAAAAATCTGACCAAAAAAACAAACAAAAAAAACAAAAAAAACCAATGTGTCACGACGTGGTTAAATTATGCGCTCGTCAACTTTTGGGCAATCAGAGTTATTTAAATAATCTTAAAGACTATTCATTTGCTTAGCTTTTGATGAAAATAGTACACTAATCTTTAATAGAAGAAGAGATATTTGCGATTAAAGGATTGGGGAACGCCTAGTTTCAAAGGTAAAATAAGCGAGAAAAAGGCTGCCAAAATTTTGTGACTTCCAAAGCCGGGGTGTCCTAGCAAACTGTAAACTTACATTCTTGTGCATTTGATCAATGTCTTTCAGTAAAATCCATGCAGGAATGTGTTTTTGAAAGTCACAAAAGCCGTTGAGCCCAAAACAAAACAAAAATGAGATATAAGTTCCCAAACGAGCCAAAAATATCAGTCTCTTCGATTTTATTATTTTGCTTTATTTCACCAAAATGCCACAAAAAAACCCCAACCTACACAAAGAGGCAAAAAAAAATATTTTTTTTAAAATCCCAGAATGGCCAAAAAGCACCCAAATTTGAATTCGTAAAATAGATATAAGGTCTTGTTCTTTTTGTTGTTCTTGTACTTTTTGTTATTTTTCTACTTCTTCTATTTCTTCTTCTTCTTCTTCTTCTTCTTCTTCTTCTTCTTCTTCTTCTTCTTCTTCTTCTTCTTCTTCTTCTTCTTCTTCTTCTTCTTCTTCTTCTTCTA